CATCATCTCTACCAAAAATATACAAAGAACAAGACTTCATCTCAAAATAAATAAATAAATAAAAATTAGCCAGTCATGGTGGCATGCACTGTAGTCTCAGCTACATGGGAGGCTGAGGTGGAAGGATCCCTGAAGCTCAGGAGTTTGAGGATGCAGTGAGCTATCATCCCACCACTGTGCCCTAGTCTGGATGACAGCATGAGACCCTTTCAAAGTAAAAAAAAAAAAAAAAAAAACACCACCAAATATCAGATATGGAGAACCAGTGGTAGAGTTGAAAACAGCTAGAGTGAATTTTCTAGACATAACCTTTTGGTGCAGCAGATCTTAAGGAGAAAGTCTAGTAGACCATCTGTCATGAACAGACCTAAGCTAATTTGATTATGCACAATATGTGTGTGTATAATCCTAATCAAAGAAAAAAGATAAAAAATGTGTGTGAGTCACTGACATGTTTGAATCAGATAAGGGTTATTTACTTCTTCTCAGCCTCCTTAACTATACTACAATGACAATAAATCGCAGTCCATTCTTTGCCACATATGCTGACACTTATAAAAATACGACACAAACCAATTTATACAACCTCTGCAAGCTTCGTGAAGTCTCCAGTTTCTGTCCTTTTAGGTGTTCCCACATCTACATTGCATTAAAAATTTATTGGAGGCACATGTGATAACACTTCAGCGGTATGACTCTGTTACCTGTACAGTGGCTATCAGAGAACGACAATTCCTCTTACCTACTTGACTGGACACAGTACACAGGACAAACATCAATCCTAGAGCACCAAGCCTAAGAGTGCAGGTGCTTCTGAGTTTAAGAGATACATATAAACTATGGGATACGAAGGTGGGGTGTGACTTTGACATATTTTAGGTAACCCTCATAAGTAAAAATTATAATTTAACCAATCGGAGGTAGTTATTTATCAAAATTATGCTGATTAATAAGTCATAAATTTTAACAGTAAAACTCATTTCTCACATTTATTATTTTAATACTTTAGTGTTGATCAAAATATGGATAATGGAAGCACTTGTAGCAGCTGCTCCAAAGTCTTACCTTTGAGAATGAATGCCACTAAACAACCCTTCAGGGGTGGAATCCTGATTAGGGCAAGTAACTGCCTTTCCTGCAGTAAAGTTTAGATGAGCACAAATATTTGTAATACACTGTGGTGAACTATTTTAAAATAAATTATAAACAACATATTATTATCTTTTTGCAATTCAAGAAGTGACGTTTAGACCAGCACAGATACTTATAACACACTGTGATGAACTATTTTAAAATAAATTATGGGCGATGTATTATCATCTTTTCTCAATTCAAGAAGATAAACTATTTAATTTTCCAAATACTTGATTTGCCTAATATTACTTTAAAGGCTGTTAAAGTTGCAAAACTGCCTTAATTTCAACAGTCATTAGTTTTTGCTTTGTTTTATTTTATTGGTCAATATACCGTGTGTGTAACCAATTGATTAATTAACTCACTCGGAGGTGCCCCAGACATACTTTACTGAGAAAGTGAAACTACCAGACAGGAATTCTTTCATCTCTTCACAATCAGAGTTTTCAACCTACCTCCGTCTGGGTTACTGCTTACCTTGAATTGATTCCCTGTCTTGACCTCTGAATCCCATCTTTTGTCTTTTCAGTACTTCCATCTTTACCATTCTCTCTCCCTTTCTTGCTCTTTCTCCTGAAGAATCTTTTTTTTTTTTCTTTTCTCCTGGTGATATGGTTTGGCTGTGTTACTACCCAAATCTCATCTTGAATTATACCTCCCATAATTCTCACCTGTCATGGGAGGGACCCAGTAATAGGTAATTGAACCGTGGGGCAGGTTTTTTTCCCATGCTGTTCTCGTGGTAGTGAGTAAGTCTCACGAGATCTGATCATTTTATAAATGGGAGTTCCCCCGTACAAGCTCTTTCTTTCCTGCCACCATATGAAGCTTCCCTTTGCTCTTCCTTTGTCTTTTGCCATGATTGTGAGGTCTCCCCAGCCATGTGGAACTGTGAGTCCATTAAACCTCTTTCCTTTATAAATTACTCGGTCTTGGATATGTCTTTATTAGCAGTGTGAGAACAGACTAATACACCTGGATTAACCGTTAATTTATAAAATGTGTTTTTTTCTTTCCCAACTTTACAAAAGCTCTCCCTTAACTCATGCCTTTAACCAGGTACCATCTCATCCCCTTCTTTCCTTGCGTGGCAAAATAACCGAAAGAAAACTTTCACTTCTTATTCCAAGTCTCTCATCTACCCATTCCTACAGGAGGTGAACCCCCTGCAACTTCACTGAAATCTCTCTTGGCAGGGTTATTCGGCAATTCCCACATTACCAAATGTAATACTCAGATGTCTGTTTACTGGTTCTTGGCCTCTCCTCATTACTGTATGCAGCTGACCATCTTGAGTGTATGAAACACTTTTGTAACCCTGTTTTTGATGACACCACCCTTTCCTCAATTCCCGGTCCCTCACAGGCCACTTCTTCCCAGTTTCCTCTTCTGAATGTCTGTAAAATGTGGTGTTTTGAGCTCAGTCCTGGACCTCTTTGTCTTATCTACATACACTCTATCCAAAAGACTCTTACTTAGTCTTCGGTTTAAAAAAGTAGATATGGATGTTGGTGTCTCCCAAATTCATGCTCCAGCCTTGGCTTAACTCTGGTCTTTTATAAACTGCTGTCGACTTGATATCTCTGTTAGGATGTCTAGCCTAAGTTTTATGTAAATCTAAAATATGCAATGTAGTAGTCTTGATTTCTTGACACAAACCTGTTTCTTATCTTAGTGATAGCTGCACCGTTTTTCTCCTTTACTCAAACCAAAGTCCTAATGAGATAACTTTGATTCCTCTTTTTCTTTTTTCACCAAACTCAATCCAGGAGTGAGTCCCTTTGCATTACCTCCAAATTATATCCATCTGCTTCCCTCTGTCCTCACTACTATTATGCTAATCCTTCATTCCTCTGGGAACCTCCACCCCAGTCAGTTCAACAGGAGTGATAAATGCGGAGATTAGGGCAGAGACATTTTGAGTAAGGCCTTATAGGTTACAATAAGAAGTTTGGTCTTACTCTAAATTTGATGAGAAACGACTTAAAGATTTTAAGTAGGAAGCAGCATTATGTATATTTTTGAAGATCTCTGTAGATGCCGTGTGGGAAATGAGGGATCCGTTGGAGTTGGGAAGGATTTGTAGTAAAGGAGAGAGTGGACTGTGTCTGGGTGTTGTGTCAGCACCTGGACCGGGGTCAGGTGTAACCGAGTATGGCTTTTGTTCAAGAGATTAATTCTCATATGAGATTAAAGCGAATGTAGTGTCTCGTAGTTATCTCTTACACAACATTAAGGATGGATGACCAATAAATGGAGGTTTTGTTAACATTAAATTTAGTGCTGATGATTTTGGGTGGCTTGGTAATGGCGTTCTCCTGTCTTCAAAATTATTAGCTGAGTACAAGTCAGAGAAAGGACAGTCTTTTTTCTTTAAAGACTCTTGAGAGCTCTGTTCCATTTATCCGTGGAATTCATAAGTTGAACACTCAAGATTCATGAAGTATGATTAAAAATCAGCCTTGTTTTTATCCCACACTCTTGATTTTTAAGAATGGTTAAGAAAGTACTTCTCTTGAATTTGAATGAAAACTTGAATTGTTGCATGGATTTTCTGTTGTTTCTAGATGATTAAAAAATTCTAGGATCTCTTGAGATTAGAAACATACTGTGAATTCAGTTATGATAGGTGTCTAATCTTACGTAGCAAGTAAAACCATGAATTGGATGTGAAGTTCAATCTTCCCCCATCTTGGGCTTGCTGCATGAGGAAGACTGTGGTCAGGAAAGAGGTGGTTTCTTTTCTTATACCATGATTGTGAACTATCAAAATTCCATGTGAAAGGGAAGCATAGATGCAAATACATAAATCACTAGATGTATTAAGTAAAATATTGAATTGTAAAACATTCAGGGGAGGGGCAGTTATGAAATATTTCCTATTAAAATATTTTTTGGAAAATCAAAGGATAGCTAATTCCCTAAGTGACTTTGTAACATTGTGGCTAGAAGTTAAACCAGGTCTCTCAGAATGCTTTCTAATCCTATAGTTTGCCCTATGATTTTATGAATAAAAGATTAAAATTCATTTTGTTTAATTAGAGGCCATTGGCATAAAATATCAATTACTTGTTTCTGTCAAAAACAGTTTCACTAGACAAAGTTGAGTCCCTTTTGCTAATTCAGTGTTAATTTTAAATTTGCACAGATTATATTTTCAAAAGGAATTTAAATTTTTAACCAGAGAACTATTTTTACAATATGTTACCAAAGGTTTTTATGTGATAATTCATTGTTCATCATCTTTGAATAGTTGATATATTCTCATAAAACAATAACTAGTTTCAGTTAATAGTTAAGAAACATTTGGATTTGGAAGGCAAATGGCTACAATCTTATTGATTTCATGAATTGTCCCTATTCAGATCTTAAAAAAAAAAAAAATAGAATTTGTCATTGTAACATAAATTCCATGAAATTACTTGATATTTTGAGTCCAAAGTTATGAGCTATTTGGTCTAGTCATATCCAATTAATTATAAGCACTAAGCACTTATGAGACTTGATTAGTTGTTTTTTAAAATGAGAAATGCCATAAATCAATTCAAATACTATTATATTGCTTACTTACTTAAAAGCATTATTTTTTGAGCATAGTGATTAATTCTTTGGTAATCCTGTTTTCGTGCTTTACAAATCCTCCCTGTTGGAACATAATATGCAGTTTAAGGATAAAAGCATTGAAACAGGCCCAGAAGAATTTGATACACAAACCTTGGCATAAACCAGACATGGATTTCTATCAGCTTGGCACCAAACATTTCTGCGTATTTGAAAAGCTAACCATGATTTTTGATTACTTTTTATGTGAATGTACTTTATTACTTAGTTTAGCATTTTGATTTGTTTACGTGTTACTTTGACAGGTTGCTTCAAAGATGGTCAACGTTATGAAGAGGGATCAGTAATTAAAGAAAACTGCAACTCCTGGTAATAAATTTAAGTGGCACAGAACTGAGTTCTACTGTCTGTGTATGTTGTCTTCCAATAAAAGAAATATTTGTGAAACAAAACATATATTTAAGTACATATAGACAGAATCATATGTCATAAGACATAATATACCTGTACCTTTTTGTAAGTATATTTAATTTTAAGGAATTTTGAAAATTTAATCATGAATGTGTTTTAATGTTTGAGGTTGATGTTCTAGATAATAAATCTTCATCATACAGCAGGTCTGCGTTCATTATACCTCTTAATTATAATATTCTGATATCCTACAGGCAAATTGTGTTTTTTAAGCACAATAACTATATAAAAGCAGGCTGCCTTAAAAGGACTAGCCTGCAGAAAGTTTCCAAATACAAGTACATTGAATCTACTGTCCAAATTGGCTTATGTTTTCAAACTTTACGGATGTGTGATCATATCATTTGTTAATTGCCTGGAGTAGAGGATAACAGCATCGTGAGTGGTAGCTAACGTATGTTTTACCGTTTATTTTTGCCAAGAATCAAATAACCATATGGCTAACATTAATCAAGAAATTACATTTCATGCCTTAACAATGTGTAATTCTTGTTACTAAATGAAATATACTTCATAAAGACCAAGCCATTTTTGTAACTGTCGTGTCTTTGCAGCACATGCTCAGGACAGCAGTGGAAATGTTCCCAGCACATATGCCTTGTTCGTCCAGAATTAATTGAACAGGTCAACAAAGGAGACTATGGGTGAGAGAAATCTTGCTTTATATGCTTCTTGACACTCCCATTTACTCTTCAGGTTTCAGTGTATTGCTTGGTTTCTATGAATGGTCATTGTTTAAAAAGAAAGAGTGGGAGAGAAATAGGAAGGGAGATAGAAAACATTTAGAACTGGAATGCAAAGGTAAACATTAAATAACATTAAATAATTAACATGAACAAATAAGAAAGCTAGAGCATAGCTCTAAATTATCTGGGAAAGAGTAGCATTATAGTGTAGGTAAGGGAAGTGTAGAGAAAGCTACTTTGGATAAGTATTTAGTCAATATCAGGAAGTCAGCAAAACTGATTTATTCGTATTAACCATCTCTCCCTCTGCTGCTGCCCTGACCAAGCCAATCACATGCTTAGCTATCATGGGTAGAATCTGACCTTAAAAGGATGGTAGTCGATCTTGACCCTCCAAATAACAAGCCAATCTAAATAATTTCACTGAAATAATGGTTATCTATCCAATGTCACTTACAGTTGAATCAAAAGACAGATTGAGCTACTTTACTTTGCTGGTACACTAAAGATTGGGATGATTGACACTGAAACTTTGGAAATAGCTGATGCTCTTGTACAAACTGATAAATTAGGTGGCTTCTCCATTTAAATAGAGGGAATTAAGACATAGGCACTGGCCCGGTGAGGTGTCTTACACCTGTAATCCCAGCACTTTGGGATGCTGAGGCAGGAGGGTGGATCACTTGAGGCCAGGAGTTCAAAAGCAGCCTGGACAACATAGTGAAACACTCTCTACTAAAAATACAGAAAAAAACTAACTGGGCATGGTGGTGCATGCCAGTAATCCCAGTTACTTGGAAGGCTAAAGCACAAGAATCACTGGAGCCTGGGAGGTGGAGTTTGCAGTGAGCCGAGATTGTGCCACTGTACTCCAGCCTGGGCAATGAGGGGTGAAATGCTGCCTCAAAAAAAGAAAAAAAAAAAAAAAAAAAAAAAAAAGATATAGGCACCAACACTGACTGTGATTACAGAACTAAAAGGAAGAGGAACAAGCTAGGTGGCATCTGCTTCAGAATTTCTCTGCTGCCATTGATCGAACCTTGATATACCTTTGATAACATCTACATTTCTGGAAAATACTTAACATAAAATCTATTATCAAGCAGTTAGAAAAGCGAAATACTCTTGAGATGGATTTTTATAAAATAGAAGTGTAATCTCCTTCCACACATAACATGTTATTTCCTAGCATAATGGGAACACTGAATTTCAGTGTATTCAAATTTTTTTTCTTGGCAGATACAAAATATAGAAAGTCACATTTGTTGATATTAATATTCTTAAACCATTCTCAGTTCCTATGTGTGTGTGTGTGTGTTTGTGTTAAACCAATATTTTAGATGATAACTTGATGACATTTTAAGTATTTCTAGGGAAAACATAATTTTCTGAGGCTAAATCATATTTAAATTATTCAAAGAACATGAGAATATGTGTCACCTTGAGAAATTATTTGAATCAGATTCCTGAAAAGGTTCAAATGCTAGACCTAATTAACATACATTTCCAAGAAACCAAAACAGAGCAGCCTAGCTTTCCACTGTTAAAAAGCATATGAGAAACCGCAGTCTAAAACAATGTGGTACACTTAAGAAAGTACACTTAGGGCTACAAAAGTTATTGGGAATGCTATTAGGTTGGTGCAAAAGTAACGGTGATTTTGGCCAAAACTACCATTACTTTTTGCACCAACCTAATAACTCCTTTAGAAGGAAGAACTTACTTTCTCTGATTTATTTATTTGAAGCATACTCTAGGACTACTTAACAGGCATGAGCTTTGCATTTTAGTAGCAAATATTAAAACATCACAGAACTTTAAAAGAGTAGAAAGTGAAAGATAATTGGAGCAAAAGGAAACATACAAAGTTCTGATTCTCAGCTATTCCCTCTTTATGATGCTCAAATTGTTTTTATGCGTGAAAATATAATCATGACATTTAATATTTATTAAGTGCTTTTCAAAATAGCCTTTGTCAAATATGTGATCTTTACTTTAAAACATTTCTTTCCCACATCTTGACAGTATTTTAGATCCAAGTCCTTAGTTATTCTATGTAATGTACTTCAGTGCTTATTTATTCTCTGTATTACTTTTTAGTGCAATCAGTTGATATTAATAAACCTATGTCCCCCTGGTGGCATTGCTGAGGATACAAATAAATAATTTTGGCCTGGCGAGGTGGCTTATGTCTGTAATCCCAGCACTTTGGGAGGCCAACGTGAGTGGATCACTTGAGGTCAGGAGTTCGAGACCAGCCTGGCCAACATGGTGAAACCCTGTCTCTACCAGAAATACAAAAATTAGCCAAGTGTGGTGGCACGGGCCTGTAGTCCCAACTACTTGGGAGGTGGAGGCACTAGAATTGCTTGAACCCAGGAGGTAAAGGTTGCAGTGAGCTGAGATCATGCCACTGCACTCTAGCCTGGGCCACAGAGTGAAATTCGGTCTCAAACAAAACAAAACAAAAGACAAATAATTTCTGTCTTAAAGGAATTTACCATCTAGTTGAGGAGCCAACATTGTCATTACCTTTATAAAAGGATTTCTAATAATAGGGCCGAATATAACTGCTAAATTAGTGGCACGAGTAATAATCAGCAAGTTAGTGGAATAAAGGGAGATACGTGTTTTCATTATCTGCTGGTGTATAACAAACCATTCTAGGATTCAGCATTTTAAAGCAATAAGCTTTTCAACTTTTCACATTAGCAATTTGGAATCGGTTCAACTGACGCTCTTTGGTTTCTCTTTTCTGGAATTACTCTTGTGTCTATAGAGCCGCAACAGAGGCTGAATTGTCTAAGATGGCCTCACGCTATGTCTTGTGGTTGATGCTGGTTGTTGATTGGGCCATGTGTCTCCAGCAGGCTAGCTTTGGCATCTCCTCATAATTATTGTTCTAATGAGGCACAAGTTCAAGGTGCACAAGTCTCCCTTGAAGCTCATGCTTGAAACTTCCACAATATCAATTCTACCACTTACCAAGTTACTAGACCAGCTTACATTCAAAGGCTAGGTAAGTAGATTCTTTCTTATGAACTCAAAATTTGATCTACTGGATAAGCTGGCTTTGATTTTTCACTGGTTTCTCAAAACCAGCTCACCCCAAACTGCAGTGATTAACTCCTACCTATTCTTACTTACTGGCATCTTGCTCTATCTGGTTAACTGGAAAATTCGAAGTTAGTTTGGTTCTGCGTTTCTTTTACTCTCCGTCAGTAGGTATTGCTAACTGCCATACTAAAAGTTTCTCTTGGATATTTACTTCTTCCATTCTAGACTACAGTGTAATGCATTTCTTTATCAAGCCTCATTTGAAATGACCTGACTTTGTTTCCAGAAATTCTCAATGGTACTGTGCTGCTTGTGGAATATAAGTGTTGCTGTTAGCATAAATAACTTGTTGGTCCAAAAGTTTTTTTACTACCTTATCTTTTATACCATTTTCGGCCCTTGTGTCCCTATCCTCTCTCTTAGTTTAAGAATTTAACTTATCTGTCATTCCCTAAACATGCCATCCAACTTCAAACCTATGTTCTTTGCTCAAGAGTTGCCTTTACTTTAAATAAATGCTCTCTTCTTTTATATCTGGTCACCAAACTTATCCTCAGCCTTCCAGATAGAGTACTAAATTTGCTTTATGTAAAAATGTGCCAACTCCTTCAGGCAGAGTGATGTTTGAATATTTTGATTATATTTTGATCTACTGCTAATAAATGACACAGGCTGAAGTCATTTCTATCTTTGTAGTCTTTCTTAAGGTATGAATTTCTTGACTGTAGAGAAATTTATTCATATCTATGTTCTCAGTGTTTATCAGAGAATATGACACATAAATTAAGAAAGTTCAATAAGTGCTAAATTGGATTAGAATGAAAGTTATGAGTCTAAATGAAGAAGGATGTTATAGGTTAGTCACGCCTCTCACATTTTTTGAGCATATATTACAGTAGAACATATATTTTACTTGTGATCTAGTACACACACATGTGTACACACAACACACCCAGACACAGACACAGAGAACTTACCCTCACTATTTGTAATAAACTCTATTTCCTATTATTTCACCTATCTTCCATTTTATTTTCTTAAATTATCACCCTGCTCACCAAATTTAGTGCTTAATTAAATAACCTATGAATATTTCTGATCTGATGTTTGAAACCTACTAATGTAGGGCAACAAAAACATACTTTACTGATGTCACAGTTTTGCCCAAGGCAAGTCCTGTCAACTGTTCGAATTATACAGTATTTCTTATATTCAGAGGTTCTTTTATTGAGATTCCTTGGGTAATGAAGATTGCATTATAAATTGTAGCTGAGTTTCTAAAGATTTTATGAACTAACAGATCTTATACAAAAGAAAAGCATTAACTTGCCAGATATATTATTATTATTTTTTTTTATTGTACTTTATGTTCTGGGATACATGTGCAGATCATGCAGGATTGTTGCAAAGGTATATAAATGGCAAGGTGGTTTTTTACCTTCATTCCCCCATCACCTATATCTGGTATTTCTCCCTTCTTTGTCTTTCCCCACCCTCCCCACCACTGCTGTCCCTCCCCTAGACCCCTCCACTGACCGCAGTGTGTGATGCTCCCCTCCCTGTGTCCACACGTTCTAATGGTTCAACACCCACCTATGAGTGATAACATATGGTATTTGGTTTTCTGTTCTTGTATCAGTTTGATGAGAATGATGGTTTCCAAATTCATCCACATCCCTATGAAGGACACGAACTCATCTTTTTTCTGGCTGCATAGTTTTCCATGTTGTATATGTGCCACATTTTCTTTATCTAGTCTATCAATGATGGACATTTGGGTTGGTTCCAGGTCTTTGCTATTGTAAACAGTGTCGCAGTGAACATAACGTGTGCATGTGTCTTTATAATAGAACAATTTGTATTTCCTTGTGTATATACACAGTAATGGAATTGCTGGGTCA